AAATCATGTAAATAAATGGATGTATTTCATCATATTTTGTGTTTTTCGATCTTTAAACTGTTGATGAAGGTACATGATTTTTTTTTTTTTTTTATGTATTTAAAATGATAAAAATTTGGTTGGAAGGACTGACATATTTTATAGAAATGGTTTCCTTTCATTTCATTCATTTTTGAAGTAATATTAAAGTATTCGGAAGAAAAAAGTTGACAAATGATGTAAAATCCTGCACCTTCTACTTGTTTGCACAATTTTCCCTCCGTTACCATGACCTTTCTTAATAAAAAATCTCATTACTCAAAAAGTAAGAGGTTTTTCAACCTAATCTTGTACCATATGGTAGAAAACTATATGAAGCAAATATTCAAACCAGTTTGTTAAGGATATGGAAGTGAGAACCAAGAGTTATCACTGTTTGGATTTATTGTCCAAAAAGTGCTGCATATTTCATTCCCTCCGTTACTGACATGAGTTTTTTTTATTTTTTGTCAACAATTTGAAAGAATATCACAGGTTTAACTTGACCCTGTTGGAGTGTAACTCTTTCCTACATTCTGATACTTTACTTATTTCAATAGTCCCTCTAGTTTCTGAATAAGAGACATTTGAATGTCAAAAATCTGCCCCTGTTTCCCTCCGTTACCACTTGACCAGACCCCACTGCAGAAAGTTTGGGTCGTGTTTGTGTCCGTGGAGTAATGACAAACCGAGATGACAGAAAAGCCGGTAGCAGCTGAAATGTGTGTTTTCTTCCCAAAAACGTACTGTATTTTCCAGGTTATAAGACGCGTTCTTAAGCCTCCAACCCCACAAAAAAATGACTGCGCGCCCTATACACGAATCCACTCAGGTGTCCCAGCACGACTTCAGTAAACTACAAAGCCGCACCACCCGCAGAACACACAAACACACACAGAGCAGACAGCGACTGCACAGAGAAACACACCCACAGACACACTCATCACTCCACACCGACGAGGAACGGAACGGAGGAACGAACCGAAAAAGCGAGTGCAATGTGCCACTTCTAGACACAACTGAACAACTGAGTCACTGCGAACACGCCAACAATCCAGCGATCCCAGACAGCACCCTCCCTACACACCACAACTGAACAAAGCCCAGAGTCACCGTGAACGAACAAACAAACAAAACACTCACCCATCACACTGTTGGGTTTCATTTAAAGTCCGGTGCAGTTTATATGTGAAAAAACATGACAGTGCGTTTTATAATCCAGAATGCCTAATAGCCCGGAAAGTACGGTAAATATATTGGTGTCCCTGTCCAATCAGAACCCTTCCCCACCCCCAGACGCTGAGTAGAATTAAATAAAGTTGTTTTACATTTCCATGTAAAACTCAATTCGGAATTATTATTTCCATGTAAACTCAAAGGAGAATATTTTAAGTCAGAACTATTCATTTGGGATTAAAAAACATCTTGTAAACGTGGCCAGTGTGCATTAAAAGTGTTACTGTGACGAGTCGAGCAACCACACACCACATATCAGATGTATGTGTGAGAAACAGCTCGTCCCGGTGTGTGTCTGCAGACCCACGAGCAGGTGAAACGGCAGATTCAAACCCAGCAGCAGCTCCTCTCTTTAAACAGATGGAAACAGATGTAAAGAGACACTTTTACAGCTCTAACAGCTCATTCCACAGGTCTGGGTTTCAGATCAATACTGGACTGTGATGAATGGGCCGACAGAGTCAATGAGGGAGAGAGAGCTGCTCTTACTGTGGCTCCACGTCACCTCTGGACAGTTCACTTCAGTGGAAACAGGCACCACTTGCCTAAAAACACTCCTCTTTATTATTTATTCTACTTTTTTTTTTTTTTATATATATTAACTATGAGGGATGCTACTACTTTCTTTTCCTCTTTCTGTCTCTCTCGCGCCCTCTTTTCCTTCCATCTGTCTCCCCAACGCTTTCTCCCACTCTCTTTAGTCTCCCTTCCTCTATCTCTCCCTCTATAGTTCCTCCTTTCTTTATCTAGCACTCTTTCTTTTTCCTCCTCCCCTCTCTCTCTCCCTTTCTCTTTCTTTCTTTCTCTCCCTCCCTCTTCCTCTCTCTCTCTATGTAATAACACAGTCATGTATAACTGCTCCCCCTTCTCTCCCCCTCCCTCCATCTCTCCATCCCTCTCTCGCTCTTTCCCTTCCATCTGTCTCCCCAATGCTTTCCCCCACTCTCTTTCCTCTCCTGTCCTCTTTCTCTCCCTCGAGTTCCTTCTTTCTCTAGCCCTCTTTCTTTTCCCCCCTCTCCCCCTCCCTCCTCCTCCTCCCTCTCTCTCCCTCTCTTTCACTCTCTCCCTCTCTCTTTCTCTCACTATGTAATAACACAATCATGTATAACCACCCCCCTTCTCTCCCCTCCATCTCTCCATCCCTCTCTTGCTCTTTCCCTTCCATCTTTCTCCTCTCTTTCCTCTCCTGTCCACTTTCTCTCCCTCTAGTTCCTTCTTTCTTTATCCAGCCCTCTTTCTTCCCCCCTTTTCCCTCCTCTCTCGCTCTCTCTCCCTTTCACTCTCTCCCTCTCTTTCTATCTCTCTATGTAATAACACAATCATGTATAACCACTGCCCCTTCTCTCCCCTCCCCTCTTCTCCCCTCCATCTCTCCATCCCTCTCTCACACTCTCTTTCCCTTCCATCTTTCTCCCCAATGCTTTCCCCCACTCTTTCCTCTCCCTTCCCCCTTCTCTCCCTCTAGTTCCTTCTTTCTCTAGCCCTCTTTCTTTTCCCCCCCTCTCCCTCCTCCTCCTCCTCTCGCTCTCTCTCTCTTTCTCTATGTAAAAGTACAATCATGTATAACCACCCCCCCTTCTCTCCCTCCATCTCTCCATCCCTCTCTCGCACTCTTTCCCTTCCATCTTTCTCCCACTCTCTCTCCTCTCCTGTCCTCTTTATCTCCCTCTAGTTTCTTCTTTCTCTAGCCCTCCTTCTTTTCACCCCCTCTCCCTCCTCCCCTCTCCCTCTCTCTACGTAATAACACAGTCATGTATAACTCCCCTCCATCTCTGTCCCTCTCTCTCTCCCTTTCTCCCTCTTCCTCTCTCATTCTGTAATAATCCATTCATGTAGAACTTCTCTCTCTCTCTCCATCCCCCTCTCCCTCTCTCTCTGTAATAACCCGTTCATGTGTAACTGTTCTCTCTCTCTCCACCTGACTCTCTCCGGTCTCTGGGGTCTTGTTTAAATCTCGCTCTCGTTTTTGCTGCAGGTTCAGACTCAAAACTACATCACACCAACGAAAACAAACACAGCTGACTCCACACAACACAACACCGCAAATTACTATACAACACCACACAACACAACACCACACAACACCACACACACACACACACACAACACTGCACAACACAACACCACACAACACTGCACAACACAACACCACACAACACTGCACAACACCCACAACGCCGCACAAACACAACACACACAACACAACACCACACAACACTGCACAACACAACACCACACAACACTGCACAACACAACACAACACAACACAACACCACACAACACTGCACAACACAACACAACACCACACAACACTGCACAACACAACACCACATAACACTGCACAACACCCCACAACGCCGCACAACTCTCAAATCTGAACTACAAAAACGTCATATATCCAGGATTTACTCCCTAAATTCATCGTTATGATGCAGCGACAGCTAAAAAAATCTGAGGGAACTACATAGACCATGATCCTTTGCTGTTTCAGTGCGAACTACATGAAGAAATAACTGCACTTTTAAATCTTAATTCTTTGTTTTGCAAAAGTACCAAAGACTTGTCAAGACATTTTATTAAAAAAGTAAACTACCTCTATCAGCCTTTAGCAGTTAAGCGCAAATGTGTGCGTGCTACGGTAATTAATTATATGTGTAAATGCCGATCATTCACACCTCAGTTCACAGCTCATTTACATCAGTGCAGGTCCAGTAACATGTGCAGACACTATAGTCACTGTACACGAGGCCAGTGGAAGAAAACAGACGAGAAAGAACCAAAAGTACGCTGTTTAAATCCAGGCTCAAAACATTTCTGTTTAACTGTGCATATAACTGAAAGGTTTTCATTCCGCACTCTTCTCTCCAATTTATGTCTCTCTTTTTTTAATTTTAATCTTCATGATTATTTATGTTTTGATTTGTTTTTATTATGATTTTAATGTATTTCTTATTCTGTAAAGCACTTTGAATTACTTTGTGTAAGAATTGTGCTATACAAATAAACTTGCCTTGCCTTGCCTTGCCTTCAAAACCAACACATTTGCAACACTCAGCGCTCACACAGGTTGGGACTGTCCTCTGTCAGCGGGACAGTCCTCTGTCCTGTCTTAAACTGCTCTGAAGTTCACTTTTATTCCTCGTCAGTATTGTGGATCAGACACAAGAGCGTTTAGAGCAGCGCCTCAGTGTTGTGCATGTGGATCTATGGCTGTGCACGGGTGTAAACAAGCACACATGCATCACGTGACTCTGGGGGTGCGTTCAGGGGCAGTACGGCGTCACAGACACATACAAATTACTCCACAGGTAAATACTGATGCGGTGCCACATATGAGGACATTTATCTGTCTGTAAATTAGATTAAATGAACATAATATGGACAGTCTAACTTTATAATGAGGTATAACCTGCCCATGTGGACTAACAGATCAGCAAGATTTAGGCTTATAGACGATATGTCTCCAAGTGCCCGTATCGGCTGATATATCGGTCAGGCCCTACTGTGAACCATTCCAGGCAAAGCAATAACATCTCCTTGGAGAAAAGCATCCACCAGAAAAGTTACACAATGCTCCTTTTAAACTAAACTCCAGGTATTTGAGGAGTTAGTGCTTTGTAACATTGCATCGTGATGAAAACGCTCCAAAAAGTACATTTCACATCATAAGCTGCAAAAGAGTGAAACAACACCCAACCTGGACCATGCACAGTAGCTCCTCCTCCTGCGCTTCTATTAAAGGATACAGCCTGAGAGCTCCGCTCTGGGTCCCCACGGCCAGGATCTTCTGCACCGGGTCAAACGCCATCGACGCCGGCTGGTTTGGGAAGCCATGACGCACCGTCTGACAGAGAGAGAAAGAGAGGAAGGAGTTAGAAACATCACTATGGAAGTGTACAGCTCCTCTCCATTCATGTTCACTTCTAACTTCATGGAGACCAAACCAGGCAAAGTTACAGGTCAGATCTGTGGAGAGGCGACCCCGCTCACAGTCACAATGTCTGTTTTTAAAAGGTATTTCTGAGTTGAAAAGAAGGAGGAGGAGAGAGAGAGAAACACAGAGAGCAATAAGAGAAAAGAAAGAGGAGAGGGTAAATTAAGAAAGAGATGAAGATGGGGAGAAGGAGAGAGGAAGAGGGATAGAAAAAGAAAGGCAGAAAGAACAGGTGAAGAGAGAGGGAAAGAGAAGAGACAGTAACTGAGGACAGAGATGATGAGAGAGTGATGGGGGGAGTAAAAAGAACAAAAGAGAGAGGGAGTAGAGAGAGGAGAAGAGAGATGAATAGAAACAGAGAGAGAAGGAAGGAGAGAGAGAAAGAAAGAGGGAAATAAAAGAGCAAAATGGGGAGAGGGAGCAGAAAGTGGAGAAGGGAGAAACTAGGATAGAGAGGATGGAGAGAGACAAGAAAAGAGGGAATAACTGAAAATAGAGATGATGAGAGAGAGAGAGGGACAGAGAGAGAGAGAGAAGTAAAGAGGGAATAACTGAGGATAAAGATGAGAGAAAGAGGAGAGAGCAACTCAGGATAGAGATGTTGGAGAGAGAAAAGATGAGAGATGGAGGGATAGAGAGGATTATGTAAGAGTTGTGCTTGTGGCCGTTTGACCTCAGGGCTTGACCTTTGGCTGATCCTGGAGCAGATTAAGTAAAACACAACAGTGCACTTTCCCACAGGAGCCAGCGGTGAAGATGAGAAAACACACACAGATCTCTAATCAACTACAAATATTCTTACATTTATTCAGACGGCCCATTGTGACAGAATTTCACTTCAATATTTGGATCTCGTTCAAAAACTCCAGAGATAAAAGTGCATCTCCGTAAATGACTCCAAAAATCAAACCCTCTTTATTCACCGAAAACAGTGTAGAAATATGTTGAATAACTTTCATTTTCAGTTCAGCTTGTTTTCCTGGAGAACTGTGGAGTGGGAGCAGGGCTGACGTGGGCCTGTGGGTTGAGAATGCGCTGGGTACAGTCTTGGAGTTTACTGTAACAAGGGTTTGAACAGGGTCTAAGAGAGATCACAATATTACTCAAACATGTATGGCTGACATCTAAAAGCTCTTCAGGCATAGTTTTGATGAGGGACAACGTTATACCATGAGAAAAAGCTCCAAAAAGATCTAGATTTATAATGTCGTTTCCTCGTCACAAACAGACCTGGAGTTGTGTTTTATTTCATTCACATGTTTAAAACACAAATCTGCACATTTTATTTAGGTTGAAAACACTCTTTTCCACCTTGTGATGTCACGTGGTAATAAAAGAAGTGCTCCACTGTGTTTTTAAACTCCACACACCTTCACTAGAATCAACTGAATGATTTCAGCCCTGGAATTGCAGATCTCTACTGAACTAAAGGTAAAACGCCCGGGCCTTTCTGCGTGGAGTAGGGATGGGCATGATTACTCGATTAATCGATAAATGATCATTAAGAATTTCGTCGATTACGTTCATTTTAATCGACAAACTGAATGTAGGTTGCTGTGTGTAGTGTGACCAGACAGGTCTGTACATGTGTCTCTGCATCAGAAGGAGCGAGACACAAACAGTGGGTCTGCAACGTACCGAAGCACAAATGTGTATTTAACAGTGATTTGTACATGACAAGTGTGAGTCCATGTGCACAGTGTACAAAGCAGCACATATGTTTCGGTGTCCAATGGGAAAAAGCTTTACCAGGTGAGAGTCGCACAATATCGATGACGAGTCCCCACCTCGATATATTGATATATCGGCAAGAGTATTTTTTGGTATATTTTACATTATTTACTTACAACTACAGTTTTGTTTGTTCAGAGGAAGGAAACTTGTTTATGCGACACATTTTCACTGTTTTGATGATTAAAATGTTTGTGTTTCAAGAAGGGATGGGCATGATTAGTCAATTAATTGATAATTGATCATTAAGAATTTCATCGATTACATTAATTTTAATTGACAAACTGAATGTAGGTTGCTGTGTGTAGTGTGACCAAACAGGTGTGTACATGTGTCTCTCTGCACTCAGAAGGAGCGAGACACAAACAGTCATCAGTCTGCAACATGCCGAAGCGCAAATGTGTATTTAACAATAATTTGTACAAGAAGTTTCACGCTTTCCGTTCCGGTCGAGACAAGTGTGAGTCCATGTGCACAGTGTGCAAAGCAGCACATATGTTTCTGTGTCCAGTGGGAAAAAGCTTTGCCAGGTGAGAGTCGCACAATGTGGATGACGAGGCCCCGCCCCCCTCCCCCCGTACGGTGTCCTGGTTTTGACAAACGCAAATCTGGTCACACTAACCTGTATTCACCTGAGTCATGTCTTTTAATTTGACAGAAGTTGAACCACATCAGCGACACAAGAGCTGTAGTTTTATCTTCGCTTAGTTTATGCAAAGTAGTGATGTGGTTTTAAGTTTTGTTTCTGTGAGAGTTGCACAAAACTGAATTAAACACATTATAATCTCAAATAGACTGATGTGGCTCTAGAGTGGTTACGGTTTATATGTCGTAAAGTTGAATTTATTTATGCAGATTAGTAGTGCAGATAGTAATAATAATGATGATCATTTTAATATAAAAACGTTAATGATTAATCAATAAGCGATCGTTAATTCTTCCGACGATCAATTAAGAAAATGTCATCGAATGCCCGTCCTTTGTGTGGAGTTTAGATGTTTCTCCCTGTGTCTGGATGGGTTTCCTCCGGATGCTCCGGTTTCCCCCATCAACCCAAAACATGCTCCATATGTCTCCAGAACAGCTGATAGTCAAGGTCAATTAAACACAATCAATCAATGAACCTGCCCTGGGACGACAGGTGGAAATTTGCACTGGTGCTAAAACCTGGTACAAGCATCTCTCCTGTTAAGGTTCATGTCAAAATTGTGTGCTGTTCCTGTCTCAAATAAATAAATAAATGAACATGACATCACAAGGTGGAACAGAGCATTTTGAGCTTTAGTGATATAGACAGACTAATAATAAAGTTACTCAAACATGTGTGAATGAAACAAAACACAACTCCAGGTCTGTTTGTGATGAGGAAACAACATTAGAAGATGATTTACAGCTCACAAGAGTCAGTTTTGCGTAATATAGAACCTTTAAAATGTGTGAGTGATCTGGTTTTGTGCCTCTGAATGACTCAAATGTATGACACAGTTTCATCATTTGGTCACTGGTCACATTTTTATTCAGCGCTTTTCCACCTTCAGGGCACTGAAAACGCTTTACAACAAGAAACCATTCACACATTCACACATTCACACTCACACACCAGTGTACTCAGACAATGGGGCGAGGCGGGTTAAGTGTCTTGCCCAAGGACACAACAACAACATTCATCTGTGGGAGCTAGAACCACTTTTTTTTTTTTTTTTTTTTTTTTTTTTTATGTCAAGAGTGAGATTCAAACCGGCAACCTTCCCATCAGTGGACAACTGACAACTGGACGACGAACTCTTACCAACTGAGCTACTGCCGCCCCGATCGTGTCATTATAATTAGAGGTGTGAAATATCAATATATCATATTGTTTAATATGATGATACAGTATCAATATCGTGGGCTGCTGTATCGATATATCGCCAAGAGGATTTTTTTTGTCTATTTTGCTACATTATTTACTTACAGCTACAGTTTTGTTGTTTGTTCAGATGAAGGAAACTTGTTTATGCGACACAGTTGACATTTTCACAGATTTGATGATTAAAATGTTTGTGTTTCAAATAGGGATGGGCATGATTAGTCGATGAATCGATTAATTGATCATTAAGAATTTCATTGATTACGTTCATTTTAATTGACAAACCGAATGTAGGTTGCTGTGCGTAGTGTGACCAAACGTCCATGTCTGGGGACAAAAAGGGTCTGTACATGTGTCTCTGCACTCAGAAGGAGCGACACACAAACAGTCATCAGCCTGCAACGTGTCGAAGCACAAATGTGTATATAACGATGACTTGTACAAGAAGTTTCACGCTTTCCGTTCTGGTCGACACAAGTGTGAGTCCATGTGCACAGTGTATAAAGCAGCACATATGTTTCGGTGTCCAGTGGGAAAAAGCTTTGCCAGGTGAGAGTCGCTCAATGTGGATGATGAGTCCCCACCTCGATATATTGATATTGATTCGCTTAGCTTATGCAAATGAGTCATGTGGTTTTAAGTTTGGTTTCTGTGAGAGTTGTTAAACACATTAAACACATTATAATGTCAAACGGGCTGATGTGGCTCTAGAGTGGTTACAGTTTATATGTTGTAAAGTTGAATTTATTTATGCAGATTAGAAGTGCAGATAGTAATAATAATGATGATCATTTTAATATAAAAATGTTAATGATTAATCGATGATCGATTAAGAAAATTTTATCGAATGCCCATCCCTACTGATATATATATATATATATATTGCCAAGAGTATTTTTTGGTTTATTTTACTAAATTATTTAGTTACAGCTACAGTTTTGTTGTTTGTTTAGAGGAAGGAAATTTGTTTCGTTGACATTTTCACTATTTTAATGATTAAAATGTTTGTGTTTCAAGAAGTGGTTTAACAATATTGTATTGAATTGTAATTGTACTAAATCGAAAGCTCACTGTATCGAGATGTGTATCGTATCGTGGCTTATGTATCGAGGTATGTATCGTATCGGTAACTTCTGAACGATACCCAGCTCTAATAATGATATGTGGAAATAGAAATGAGAGGCAGTTCAAACCATAACTTCAGACTTAATTATTCTTTACCACATCCTCAAAGGAACTTAACGGGAAAAAAAAAAAAAAAAAAAACGAGGGCAGCTATAATTAAAAACGCTCAAATACAAAGGAATCTTAGGTGGCCCTGTCCAAGAACCTGGCTCAGATGGGTCCTCAAGCCTACTGTACTTACAGGTCATGTCTGTGGAGAGGCGAGCCCACTGTCTCTGCGGAGACAAGCGGAGGGGGCGGGTCGTTAACCAGAAAACTTCCGTAGTGCAGCTTTAAGATTGTGATCAGTGATAGTAATGACTAAAGTTGATCTGATAGAAGCTGCAGAGTTCTGTGCAGTCACACTCAGGACAGTTCGGCAGTTCTCTCACTTCTGTTTTGCAGCTCACGGTGAGACTTTGTCAACTCAAAACAAAACTAACTCTTCGAAATGTTACTCGAGATATTCAAGATAAAAACTACTACTGCTATCATTTGGAAAAATAGAAAAGGTATTTAACTGGTTTTTGGTTTAGTATCTACATAAAACCAGTAACACGCCACAGGAAATGCCTCTTCCAATTAAAGAATGTATTAATATATATTTAAAGTGATAGTGTAGTGTAGTTGATGTGCAGATCTCTCCAGGCCCATTGCTGTGCCTATTTGGAATAAGAACTCAAGATTTTTCATCCCAAAAATTGGATCGCATATTATCACTGTTTTTTTTTTTTTTTTTTTTTATCAGCTAAACGTATTATTATGATGAACTGGAAAGAACATAAACATAAGTGCTTCAACATAGACAACTGGTACAAAGACTTTTTGGATTTAATTTCTACAGAGCAGTTGCTCTGCAAACACACTGTCGGCCCATGGACTGTGGCAAAACCCCATTTGGACAAAGCACAGTAAAAGAAGAACATCACACTGTTGGACAATGTCAAAATATATGTGTATGTAAATGTTTGTATAATGTAATGTACGTGTAAGTGCGTTTTGGGGTTGCCAAACAAACAAACGAAAGATATGGGAAGGGAATAGAAAATATGTAAATGTAAATTTGATTTGACAGCCTTAAAACGTAAATACACACATGGGTCTGGTCAAGTGGTAACGGAGGGAAACAGGGACAGATTTCTGACATTCAAATGTCTCTTATTCAGAAACTAGAGGGACTATTGAAATAAGTAAAGTATCAGAATGTAGGAAAGAGTTACACTCCAACAGGGTCAAGTTAAACCTGTGATATTCTTTCAAGTTGTTGACAAAAAATTTAAAAACTCATGTTGGTAACAGAGGGAATGAAATATGCAGCACTTTTTGGACAATAAATCCAAACAGTGATAACTCTTGGTTCTCACTTCCATATCCTTAACAAACTGGTTTGAATATTTGCTTCATATAGTTTTCTACCATATGGTACAAGATTAGGTTGAAAAACCTCTTACTTTTTGTAGTAATGACATTTTTTATTAAGAAAGGTCATGGTAACGGAGGGAAAAGTAACGGAGGGAAAATTGTGCAAACAAGTAGAAGGTGCATTATTTTACATCATTTGTCGCTTTTTTCTTCTGAATACTTTAATATTACTTCAAAATGAAAGGAAACTATTTCTATAAAATATGTCACTCCTTCCAAGCAAATTTTTATCATTTTAAATAAATTTTTTTTTTTGAAAAATCCTGTACCTTCATCAACAGTTCAAAGATGGAATAACACAAGATATGATGAAATACATCCATTTATTTATATGATTTGCAGGTCTTTGAAATTTGGGAAATAATTTTTGTTCCATGTTTCACACATGGTCTGTTTAAAACATATGGAATTTTACAACCAAAAATGATACAGAAAAAAGGTCAACAGTTTCATAAACTAGAGTACATATGTATCTGTTCAATACATTTTGATATCAGATGCATTAACTTGAATTTTTGGCCTTGCAGTTTACTTCTGCTTGACTGGGCCCACATGCAAACACTGCATAGAGAAACTCACACCTACTACACCCCCCCCCCCCCCTCACACCCCCTTACTTTTTTTTTTCCTTTCTTTGTATGCGTGTTAGGTTTATATTTTGTTATGTCTGTCTTGTTGTTGATGTGCTGGGTCCACTCCCTCAGAATTGACAAATTATTTAAAAAAAACATTCTCCATGGAGACAGATACGTTTTATGCCATACGGTGAAATATTATAGCTAAAGTATCAAGATTTCCATGGAAATAAGTAGGTGAAGGTCCAATAAGAGTCAGGTTTGTGGAGATGCAAGCCCACTAAATGCAGTTATTTTAGTCTTTTTTGACAAAACAGTTACACAAGGCTTGAATTTAATCTTAATATTGCACCACTGATCATTTATTACAAATAAAGGCTTATATTATTGCATGAATAGTGCGCGTGCACACACACGCACACACACACACACACACACAAAACACACACACATAAACACACACAAGCAATACGTTAACAGTGATGCTTAAATACTAACAACATGAGCTTGGGGCTAAAATTCAGTGCAGAGCAAATAAACTTTAAAAATGTTGAGATAATTTAGAGAACTTTGGCCTCGAGACACAAAATTTGACGTGTGAGATTTTTTAACGAAGCACTTCCTGAAAAACAGAATTTACCACAGGAAGGAAGCAAAAAATTCAACAAAAATGTCAGGCAAACTAAAAGGCACAGGTCTGTCAACTGTTTTATCTCTGGTTTAGTTCTGGTTTAGTCCCGGTTTAGACTGAACCAGTACAGGACCATCAACCTGGATTAGAGCAGGAGAAAGACTTTAAGACGATCATCACAAATAATTGTAAACCAGGAGAGAAAGAGGACTAAACCATGTCTAAAAGAGGACTAAACCATGTCTAAAAGAGGACTAAACCATGTCTAAAAGAGGACTAAACCATGTCTAACAAACAAACAAACAGGCCTAAACCCTAGGACAACACCCCAATCTGTCCTGAACCAACACGGACCAATTTAAAACCAGGAAATAAATAATAAATAAATGGGCTGAACTAGGACTGATCTAGGACTAAACCAGGATTTCCATCTGGGTCTGAAACAGGACTAAACCAAAAACAAAGACAAGACTAGGCTGGGACTACAGATGGACCAACCCAGGTCTAAACAAGGACCAACCCCAGGATAAACCTTCAATTATTTAAGGAGGAGTTAATCAACGTTCTGAATCATCACACAGCAAGTCAAACGAGGCTGAAACCAGGTCAAAACCAGGTCTAAACCAGGTCTGTAACAGAACTAAACCAGGATCTAAACAGACTAAAACTAAATAATAAACTGAGACTACTACACCAGGACTAAACGAAGACTGAACCAGGACTGAACCAGGACTGAGCCATTAACCAATACAAACCAGGTATGCACAGATCAAATAATAAACCAGGATTTGCTCAGGTCTATAATAGGACTAAACCAGGATCTCAACCGGTCTAATCTGTAAAACTAAACCAGGATTTGAACCAACCAAACCGGGTCTAAACAAGGTCTAAAACTGATGGTAACCCCAGGATTTCAGCAAAGACCGATACAGGACTAGATCAAAACTAAACCAGGTCTAAAGCAGGTCTCAAAATAGGTCAAAATCCAGGATAAAACAGGACTAAACCAGGTCTCAAGAAGGACTGAACCATGTCTCAAGCAGGACTGAACAGGGACTGAATCAGGACACAAGCAGGACTGAACCAGGACTAGACCAAGACTGAACCAGGAGTGAATTAGGACTGAACCAGGACATAAGCAGGACACAAGCAGAACAGAACCTGAGCTAAACCAGAACTAAACCAGAACTACATCATTACCCAATACAGCCCGGATAGCCTAGATCAATTAAGGACTAACCCAGGATTTCCTCAGATCTATAACAGGACTAAACCAGGATCTGAACCAACCAAACCAGCTCCAAACGAGTTCCAAACCAAGCCTGAAAATGGATTTAAAGCCCGGGATCTGAGAGCTCCAGAGCAGGGCCGTGGCTAAAGCTCGTCTAATCCCGCTGATGGGATGAGGAGGGCGGCAGGCAGCGCTCGGTCACGCCGCTGTCATCTGACCGACCCGTACGCACCTTGCACAGCTGAAAATGTTCGGACTGGAGGGTCTCCTGGACCGGCTCGCTGTCTCTGGGTGTCCCGGGCTGAGCGGAGGAGGAGGCGGATGAAGAGGACGCCGCTGTCAGTCCGTCCAGCACCTTCCTGATGTTAAACTTTTTCATTTTCCTCGCTCTTTCGAAGCTTTAGATCGGGGGGAACGGATCGGGCAGGACGCTAACATAAACCGGGGGTAGCTGCTAGCGCTTTAGCCGAAATTACGCACAGTCAAAATGTTTCTTTGCAGCGCTCGCATGATCCGGAGCAGGTACCGAGCTCTGTGTCCACAAGCAGTCGTCTCACAAGCGCGGAACAGCCCCCTCCGGTTCGGTTTCAGCGGTAATCCTCCATGTATGTGCCCGGGTTTGGCGTTATTCGGTCAGGATCAATGATTTGTGCGAGAGCTGTTTGCACCAGGGCACCAGCAGCACAGGCTACGGAAACGGCGTGTGCGCATGCGCAGTGGGGAGGACACCCGGATGCACGGGCAGCGTTGCAGCGGATTTGGTTCTCCGTAATATTTATTATGTAAATAATGTTGTTTATTTAAGATTTAAGGCCTATTTTTGGCTCCTAATTCTTAAATACACATTAATTGTAGTCTCACAATATATCCTGACTGCTGAACAAATTACTGAAATGATAATAGAAAATTAAAATTGGAGTTTAAATTTTAATTTCAATTTTAATTTTAATTTTAATTTTAATTTTAATTTTTTTTTTTTTAATTTTACAATAAAATAATAAAAATAATTTTTTAAATTAAAATCACTGTACTTGTCCTCGTGATTCTGATTTAGATTCAACTTTATTGTCATTACACATGTATAAATACAATGTATAAAAATGTGGTTTAGTATCTAATCAGAAGTGCAAGGAGCAGCAAGTGTGATATATACAGAATGAGGAGTATATACAATATAGAGAATATACTGTATATCACAGTGTAGACTGTAGTGAATATTTACAAATAAATATGGCAGCAGGAACAGGAGGGAATTACGTATACATGGGGAGATATAAGCAGACGTAAACAATAATAAAGTTTACACAAAAAAAACTTTACTAGAATATACAAATATACAATGTGCACTATAGAAAATATAAATATTTATGACATATGTAAAAAAGCCAAAGATATTATGTGAACAGTTTGCAATGTCAGTAAATAAATACAAAGTTATGTATCAGTTGTGATATGAACATGTAAGCATGAGATGCAGAGATATACAACATTAGTGATATATACATGTGTTTGGATGGAGGGATTGGACTGGGAACATTAAGTGTCCATGGGCGACGTATTTGTACAACTGAAATACTTTGACGAAGTGATTTCTGTTTTGAGATTGGCCTATTTTAAGTCTGCGTTCACACTCCCACCTAAAACCAGGACTAAACTGGGACTAACCTAGACACTAAAACCAGGACTAGACCATGACAAAACCATAATGAGGCTAGACCAAGACTAAAACAAACACTAAACCAGGGCTAAACCAGGGCTAAACCTAGACCAGGACAAGACCAGAAGACAAGTATTAAACCAAGACTAAACCAGGACCAGACCATGACAAAACCAGGATGAGACCACAGACTAAAACCAGACCAGGGTTAGACCAGAACTAGACCAGAACCAGAGCAGGAGTAAACCAAGACTAAACCAGGTGTAGACTATTTCTAAACTAGACTAGACCAGGAGTAGACCAGAAAACAAGGACTAAAGCAGGACTAAGCCAGAACTAAATCAGGACTAGATCAGGACTAAACAAGTGTGAACTTTGCCAAACTGTTTGTGTCTCTTTAAATTTCCTGGAGAAACTCGATCTGTTCTTTAAGAGTTTGAATCTTTTGTGTGTGTTTGGATTTGGGTCACTCCTCTGGTCCCTCTGGTCCCTCTGGTCCCTCTGGAGCAGTGACACATGTGTAACTGTGACGTGGGATAAATTTAACACTACTGTCCTTCTAACACTGACTTTTATTAGGACAAAATGTACTGTTTTAGAATTGAGGAAGTGAGACATGCATGAAGTAGTTACAAAAAGTTACTAGTGAAGTGAATGGGTAGTTCAGATTTTAGAATGTGATGATGTCATATTCCCAGATGGAGGAAGAGACAGTTTTCCACACTGATAACATCATGAAATATCCAAAAGGTAAATTCACACACGTCAAACTCGATAATTTCAATGAAGACAAGCAGGAGACATTAAGACTGTATAAAGACGTCATCCAGCATTCAGCGCTAGTCAAATGAAACTCATGAGACTGGCAGTTATAGGAGTAAATTTGGAGCTGAGTTCCAAATTAGGAATAACTATTGATTTACAGACAAAATCGAGAAATAAAAACACCAGGATCATGTAGAACGGATTCGTACAAACATTATAAGACCAAAATGAGGAGTCTGACAGGGACAGTTACAGACAGAGTGTTGACGTTTTCTCAACAGAAACTGAAGAGAAGTTGGAGTGTACCCAAGCTCACTTCATATTATAATGCAGCTGCCAGTGGGTTCGCTGGGTCCATGTACACAGTCTATGCACAACACAATCAAATATTTTGGGGGCTACGAAGTTCCATACTTTGGCTTTAAATATCTCATTTGGAATCCAGATAAAGTCATTAGAGCTGTGCAGCTGTGAGGTGTGTACAGTTTCAGTCTTAACTCTCCAGACCATTGATCTGTGTGTACACCGTGTGTCCACTAGAGGGCAGTGTCCAACAGCGTATCCGGCTGTAAAGGCCTGTGTGGTTCAATTAGCTACGTTAGTGTGTTTCCTGTTTTATGTTTGTTACCTCTAAGTTTACAAATTGCTTCATTCATTTAATTAAAGGTGCACTGTGTAAGTTTTCTTTGTATTATTGCTTTGCCTGTGATCTTCATCTATTTTGCTTTTATTTAAATATGTGTGCTTTTGAACATTCTGTTTGAGGGCTCTTCTCTCCATATCCGGACGTATCTTGGGTTGGTGGCATCTCCTGCTTGTTTCTGTGGAGATAGATGAGTCTAATGCCATACTGAGGAACTTTCAGAAGAAGCAATAACCTCTCCAAGCAGAAAGTTACACGTGCACTGTTAACTCTAACTTCACTTTTTAGACCGACTGTCCTAATAATATAATGAAGGAATAGTCAATATGATGAGTGAGCATGTGCTTAAATATAACGTATACATACCTTTTATCCACTAGAGGGCCCTGTCTTTTAACTATTCTGCCATGTATTTAGTGAAAAGGGTTCAGCACCAAGGACAGCACCACAGGAACTGTTCTCCTGTTAAAATCTGTGACCCTTTTTCTCCAGATGAGGGGAAGAGTTTTGGACTTTGGAACAGGGACAGTGTGGACAGTTTTTTTTTGTTGTTGTGTGAAGTATGAAGAGTGAACTGTTGACAATGACTTTCTCTTTGGGGCTGAAAAATGACACCAGTTTCTGAAGCTGTTGTGAAAAAGTCATTTCACTTGTGTTTGTGCTAAAAATATGGTGAACTTTGTCCCAGTTTGTTTCACGTGGACAGGTCCAGGAATCATGTCAAACCCGGTGTGGTCAGAACTCAGAGCCTGAGTCTGGTCAGGACTTGGACACCGCTGTGGAGACCAGGTGCCACAGTGAAAACACTGTTGTGTTCTTAGGCAAGACACTTCACCCACATTATGAAGTGTGAATGTTGCTGCTGTCAGTCTGCCCCAGGGCAGCTGTGACTACAATAGTAGTTTAACATCACTGATGTTGGTCTCATACTAATGACATCATGAAAAGGAAAAAAAAAAATTCAAGAAAGGAGGATTTGTTAACATTTGTGATTGATGGCCTCTGTGCGAGTGTCTTTGTGATATAAACATGAACAATGAGAGAGGAGGATTATGGGTAAGAGAGGAAACTGTGTCAGCCAAGTGTGTGTGCCCTGTGTGTTAGATCTGAACTCTTACATGACTCCAGTTTCATCACACACGGAGGCCAGAGAGCCACAGGCTCTCAAAGACTAATTACAAACCAAGAACATATTTTTCTCTCGGTTGAAACACTGAAAAAAATTAATTAAAGTGCTGTCATGAATTGTATTTGCCAAATAATAACAGTTTATTAATAACAAGATTTTTCACATGAACTGATGGCCATGTCCAACCAGGAAGTCCAATATTAAACTTCCCCAAAATAGTCAAATTAGCAAAAAGTAGTTTAGTCAAATGTGATGACACACATACATATACACATACACGCCCACACACGCACACATACACACACACACGCACACATACACACACACACACACACATACACATACACACACACACGCCCACACACACACACGCCCACACACACATACACACACACGCACACACACACAGGATGTCACAAAAGACAAAAGAGGCTCTCAGCCTGCAGGAGCTCAGACTGTGTGTGGAGCACATGAGAGGCATCTCTGATGAACTGTTGCTGTGTCCTTAGGCAAGACATTTTACCCACTTTGCTTCCTTTGAATGTGGTGGTGTGTGAGTGTTGGAGCAGATGTGCAGTCTCTGTTCTGTCAGTGTGTGCTGTGGAGTATCACCACAGAGTGAGGAGTGGATGAAGAACGTTTAGACTTACACGACGTCATGGATCTACATCCAACTAATTGTGAATTTAGAGGCACTAAATTAACCCAGTGCATTATAATTTATTTAACATACTCATGTGAACTCTGTGAAACATGTCTAACCTGACATACACACTTAAGTATTGTCAAAAACACGGCTCATATCCAGTCCTGTCTCTCATGTCTCTCTCCTCACACAGAATCACATCTGCAAGATTCACTGAAATCAAATCGAAATCATAGTTTGACTAGTCACAATCTGAAAAATACGAAGAATGTTTGTATTTTGTATTGTTCTCTGTATCACTTCTTTAAAAAGAACAGAAGGAAAGGATCTGTTTTGCTCTAATCAGTCATATTGACACTGTAATTACGGATGTTCATTAAAATGCCCTGTCCCAATTAAATGAATGAATACATACATAAATTCCTCTCTCGTCAGGCTCCTTGCTCCCATCTCCTCATTAATTCTCTAATGAATTAAGTACTGCTCTGGTCTGAACCTCCCATAATCCACCTGCCTTACCTCACCCAACCCAGGCTAATCCAGTGATCCGGCGTGGACCCAACACTCTGACATAAACCCTTTAATGGTTTAAACTTAAATCAGGATCTTCTGCTGCCACTTCACCTGGAATGACTTTCTCTCTCTGCTTTGTGACATCTCCAACGGAAAAACAACAGAAATTTCATTGTCTTTGCAGCAAAAATCAGACTTAATCATATCCAAGAATGCGTTGAGGTAACGATCAGGCAGGGTCAAAATGTGAGAAAACTCCTGAGTTGGCTTTAATGTTAATCCAATTGTGATCCGGAGTGATTAAATCTGGAATAAAAGTGTGAGAGGTGACGATCCGGATCTGTGTGA